GAGCAGAGGTCCATCAGTGGCTATTAGCCACAAGGTATAGATAGGGACTCTGGGGCAAGTGATGCTCTGTCTTCTTGGTGCTTGGGCGGGGGGTGTCAACAGTGGGAGGGTTTCTAGTGTCCTGGCTCCACTGGTCAACCTCCTGATGGCACCTGTTATTTTTGGCCACTGCGTGACAGAGTGTTGGACTGGAGGGGCCATTGGCCTGATCCAACATTGGCTTCTCTTATGTTCTTATAGGAACTCTCAGTCTGGGGCAAGGGGTGCTCTGTATTCTTGGTGCTTGGGGGGGTCAACAGTGGGAGGGCTTCTAATGTCCTGGCCCCACTGGTGGACCTCCTGATGGAACTGGTATTTCTGGCCACTGTGTGATACAGAATGTTGGGCTGGATGGGCCTTTGGCCTGATCCAACATTGGCGTCTCTTATGTTCTTATCACTTGCCATAGCCTGAGAGTTCCTATCTATACCTTGTGGCTAATAGCTACCGATGGACCTTTGCTCCAAATGTTTCTCCAATTCCCTCTTGAAGCCGTTGTTGGATCCCCAAGCATCGAGAATAAATCCACGTTTCAAAGAAAGTAAAGTTTATTTCAAAGCATTGGAAAGATACTCAAACACGTTCTTTGTTAGAACTGAACACAAGCAGTTAGGGCAGACATGATAAAGGGATTCAAGTTAGATACACAACCAATGGATAACGTTCCCGCTGGCGGGCAGGAGAAAACGGTTGCTTGCTCAAGTCTTGGGAACCAGGCGAACAGTAGACAAAACACAGGTGCAGTTCACAGGCTTGATAAGTAAGAAGCTAACAGCGAAGCATACTCTCCCCCTCACATCCTCCAGTTGTTTTACTTTGGCATTACAGCAGGGAAAACACATAGGCCAGCTGGCAGGGACAGGGATCACATATGTACAAGCAGAAGTTACACAGAACACCATGGCAGCTTGCTGACACCAGGCTGCTGCCTCCTTGCCCGCCCCCTCCCCTGATTGGTCAATTGTGTAGTTCAGAGTTCTGAGGTAAAACCTGCCTGCTTGCACCCACCTCCCTCTGATTGCTCAGCTGTGGATCTCAGTGTTCTGAGGTAAAAACCCAGTTAGAAGAGACTGCAGACAGTTGAGGACAGTTACAGAAATCAGCTATTCAAGACTCCTGAATAGACATTTTTCAAAAAAGCCAGCATGGCAATTGAATTAATGAATATTTATGGGGAGATAGTAAAGGATCTGTGTGCCTCACTGAGGGGCAGTACCCTTTATGTGACTTTCATTGATTTTAAGTCATCATTCGATCTTATCCCATGAGCTAGACAATGGAGTAAATCTCTGAGGAGTCCAATATAGACAGACAGCTATAATTCTTATCTGATGCCTATACAAAAACACTTGGTTATGGGTTAATTGTAACTGTGTTGGATGTCTAACAGTCTCTGTTCCTACTTATAATGCTGTTAATCAGGACTGTTTTCTGGCTAGAATATGGTTAAAAGTTTATTTGACCCACCTATCATCCTCTCAAATTGGTCTCTACTTTCAACTTTACATTACGCAGATGATGCAGTAGTGCTCTCTTGTACCAATATAGGTTTAGGACTCCTGAATAGGGGTGTGCATATTTTTTTTACCAGCATGGCATTCAGATCCAGAATTTTTCGGAAATTCCAAAATTTATCAGGTCCAACAGACCTGAACTGAAAAATGCTGGTAAAAAAGAGAGAACCAAAATCATTAGTAATTTGACCATATGAGGCATATGCAAGCTTCTTCATGGATAAAGTCCTGTTGCTCTGCTGTAACCTCACCACCAATGTTGATACAGTAAAGGAATTGGAGGCCCCTTGGCCATTTTTAGTTTTGGTATCTGACAACTTCAGCTGGCTCTCCCATGCCAATGTTGACAGGATCCTGTATGAGTTAGGCCAACCACATGCCTCTTAGACGCATGTCCCTCATGGCTGGTAAAAGCTGGCACTGAGAGAATATGGACTTTATCAATCTCTCCCTGGAGTCCGGAGTCTATCCAGCAGGGTTGAAAGAGGTTGTGATGGTAACACTCCTGAAAAAACCACCCCTGGATCCTACAGATCCTTCCAGTTACTGCCCAGTTTCAAATTTGTTTCTGGGAAAGATTGTTGAAAGAGCAGTAGCTGAGTAGCTCCAGAGCTTCCTGGATGACGCATCAGCACTGGACCCATTCCAGTCCGGTTTTTGCCCCAGTCACAGGACAAAGACAGTGCTGGTCGCCCTTATGGATGATCGCTGCAGACCACTGGATTGAGGCAGGTCGTTGTTTCTTTTTGAATACAAAATAGTGTTCTGTTTTGAATTTGAAAGTGGTACAGTCTAGACCCAGGTTTACCAGATCTGTGAGAACTAGGCTGGAGAGTTCTGTGGCACCATAAAGCTTAATATTGTATCTTTCTAGTTCCACATTTCTAAATCTAAACAATCTAACATGATTATATTTAACATAATATACAGTGCAAACCGCCTGCAGTCACCAGGGCTGCATAAAAGGTAAAACGGAAGGCACACACCCTGTCCATGTATTACCCTGAGGGACTTGCTCCCTCCAAACTCTCCAGCCTTTTTCTACCATGACTCCGCAAGCTCTTTCTTTAGAAGATTCAATCCTGCCATGATATATCTCCAAAGTCTGCTGTTACCAATATAGGAAGCCAACTGGTTGGCCATGAATGTCTCTCTTTTCCCAACTTTCTTCAGTTGAGCCAACAGGATCTCTCTGGGAGTATCCTGCCTGGTCACTGAGTGGTGGATTTGGTTCTTTTCAAACCTTGCTGACTATAATAGGGAACAAGTAGACAAGGTGTCATCACTTTATCAAGCCACAGAGGAAAAGAAAGAGCATGTGCATAGATCTTGACTGCGGTAGTTGTACGTTTGCTTAATTAGAAAATACCAGAAATGTATATGTCTGGTATTTTCTCAGTTTATTTACTGGACAGAAAGGAAAAATACTGGACTGTCCAGTTTTCTATAGTGGACTGTGCCAGTTTCCACCTGGCAATCCTATTTCCACATGTGCAATGTTCTTTACTGAATCTTAAAATAAACACCAAGAAACCAAGTGCCATGCTAAATTCACTGACTACCATTGGGCCATATACATATACATACATACATATCAGAACACAGAACACAAAACAAGATTTAGGCTAGAATTTAAGATCATCACAGTGACAATACTCAGGCCATGCAGAGAAGTATAGGAACTAGATCAACATATACACTGGAACATTAATTAACTCCCCTCAAAATTTAATGCCTCACTTTCATTAACACAATTATTAATTACTCTAATTATAAAAAATAACAGTAATCACTAACAGTAGTTAATTCAAGAGGTGGGGAGATGAAAAAATTCTTAGCTGGTCCTGTCCCCCTTGCCTACTATAGACAAGCTGATCCTAGTCCAGAACAGCAGGACATGACTGGGTGTGGAAGAACCCAAATAATACTAAAAAATGGATGGAGCATTCCTACAACTAATGGAAATGATTTTTTTTTTAAATGAAACAAGATACAACAAAAATATAACAAAAATATCTCTTCCTAGAGTTGTACTGTTATCATCTATTCTTATTTGGGAATGAAATATATATATATAAATACTTTCAATTCGAACTCCCTGCCTCATCAACTGCCTTTGTGAAATATTGATCCTGTGTCACTTCCTCTATATTCTCCAGCAATCTCACCAATCAAGGTGAGGTCAAAATTTAATGCTCCCAGCACCAGAGATTACAAGATTACTCATTGTGACAGGGATCTCAGATTTCCGCAGTATTTTTACTCTTTCTATATGTACTTATTCATTTTTGTTTAAAAATGAATTAAAAATGAATAAAATTTAAAAATGTTTAAAGCTCTGATCAGACGAATAGTTGAACGTGATTACCGTACCTGATCAGACGAATAGTTGAACGTGATTACTGTACCTGTTAGCCAAAAGCTGAGACCTTGTTCCAGAGGGAGATGTTAAATAAATTGCCAGGTCACCCCGTCGTGGGTGCATTATAGTGATACGCACAACAACATGTTCCAGGTAGATCACATGGTGATTGGGATTATCTGCACAGCCTGTGGCTTTATATATTGAGCGAACTCCATTATCTGGTCCATTACGAATGCTATCTGGTCGTATTGTTCTGTTTCAAAAACAACAACACGGTAGCCAATGAATAACAGATAATGTGCTGTTATAACTAACAAATATGCTTTGAAAATGTATATTTAATTTTGGTGATTCAGAAATTAATAGATTTAACATATATTTTATTAAAAATGCCCGGGTTTCTTTCCAAAGCTTTGCTGTATTCTTCTTTCTGTTCTTTGAAGTTTATGACAGTAGTACTACTAACTAAAGGATAAGCATTATTACATGAAAAAACGAATTAATGAAAAATATACTTTAGTTAAAATAATTCTGGATTCCAGAATACATTTTTCAATTTCCCCCCCAAATTTTCTTATTAAAAGTGACATGCTCCTAATCTAAAAATATGTGATGACACAAAGAGGTCATAAACTACTATATGTACTTCCAAAACGTTTCACTGCAGTTTCATTATCACCCATGAAAAGAGTAATTTACTTTCAAGTTCTCAAAAGAAGAGAAAGAATGGATAGCACAAATCTAATGGGCTAATATTATTGTACAGACATACTTATTAAAATAAGAAAATATCAGAAAAGACTTAGGCAATGCATATCAAATGATGATAACAACTTTTACATGGTAGTTTGGTTATCTGAAACAACTATATAAACTTCCATGGATAGCTTTCTTATCATGTAGGTACAGTATTTGTCCAAGGAAGAAAGCTTATTAATACTAAGGTAAAGTTAACATCTGGGCCTTCAAAGAATAGAGGAGGTTGGTGGAATCAAAAGCAATCTGCCCTAACCCTGCTTATCAAGAAAACAAAAGTTTAAAAAAACTCTGAATTAAGCAAAATGTTGTCTATCTTCCATAAGTTTCTATAAGCTCAGCCTGGGGAGCAAAGGCCCTGCTGAACTGGAAGGGGGTGAGGGCCAGTGTTGCAAGAGGGCCGCCCACTCAGGCAGGAGCAGCCAGCCAGGCTGTGGGGATCCCTTGTGGAGGGAGGGAAGCCTTCAGACATGCACCCTGCAGAGGCAACCATTGGGCAGGTGTGATGAGGCAGGCACAGGCATGCCAGCTCTCCAGCCCTTGTTCGGACCAGCTCCTGAGCCGCTGGGAAAGAGGCTTGGCCTCCTTTTCCTTCCTGCCACACAGGTGCCTATGTCACTTCTGGGTGACGTGGTGATGTAGTGATACAGGCATATGCCCCCCTCCACCAAAATCTTTCTGACTATGGGGCTGAGAAGAGTCCTGCTGGCTACAACCAGCCATGTAACTCTAAAGCAGGAGCGGTTTGCCCTGCAATGTTAGGTGTTCAGGCCAGTTGCTCCAGGGCTTGGTGGTCACAAGAAAGGGATAGGCTGAGCCAGGGGACTACATCATGAATGCACTCTACCCTTCCCTATTTAAAGTGAGCCCTTCAGTGGTTGGTGGCATTTTTTCCTCAATCTGCCCCTGCTTGCATTCAGTTGTTACAGGGTTTTATGCACATTGTTATTTGTAATTGTTACAGCTGTGTGGTGGTTTGGGCATTGGGACAGATCCTTTTGGGGGGGAGGTGGTGTCTGTGCGCCCACCTCCTCTGGGTAGAGGACTCCCTTAAGGAGTCTTGGGGGGTGGAGCATTAAGTGGCATGCTCAGGCGGGGGCTGCTGGCTGGCTCTCAACTCCAGGGGCAGTGGCCAATGCTCACGTGGGACCCTGGAAATCCACCATTCTGTGGTGTTACTCCTCAGCAGGCGGGCTGTCTGATGCTGGATCCATCCCATGCTGTGCCTATGCCCTTGCTCTGTATCCAATAAAACTGTGGCCTACTTTCACCCAAATCTGATGTCATGGCTTTCCTTCTCACATACCGCCCCCCATTTATAGCCTCAAGGATCCCACAGCACAGAGGCACTGTGCCCCATACAAAGAGAGATGTAAACATCTTAAATATGTACACATTTCCGGAATAACAGAAAACTAATTGGATAGCTTTCTAACCTAAAACATAATTTGATGCAAGAAGTTTATTGAGAAACAGGGACAATTAAATCACACAGTACACAAAGAGTTTATTTTACCAAGATGAAGGCTTGGTAGGATAAACATTAGGGCCACATAGGGTTGCCAAGTCAGAAGCGGTGATGGAGTGGGGGAGTCCAGCACTGCTTTGGGAGTGCGCACGCACGCGCAAAGCATGCCGCAACCCCATTACCCGGAAGTGACGCAACCATGCCGGGCACACTGGGGGCGGGGCCACGACCTTCTGAGGGAAAACCATAGAGTTTTCCCTCGGATGACTATGGCCCCGCCTCCAGTGTGCCCAAGTCACTTCCGGGTGACGTGCACGTCGTGTGCTTTGGGGGTGGGGTTCCCCCGGGGCCCGATCTGCCAGCAGTGGGGAACGGGCCTCTGGGGCGGGGGTTTCCCCGCCCCCCGGGGGGACTTGGCAAGCCTAGGGCCACACATGGTGATGTGGGTTTGGGTATGACCTAAAGTGGCTTATGCTGCTACTTTATATATCTTGAATCCAAAATTTAACAGGTGCTCCTTAGGCAAGTGTGCTGCTACCCTGGATCCCTACCTATTCTCCTAAATTGATTGCTGGCCTGGAATTGTCATGACAGCATTTGGTTAGTTGGTCTGCACACCAGCGGTTTTAAATTATTGAACTAGTGGTTTTATATATTTACTGCATTTTATTGTATTGTATTATTACTTACATTGTAAGCTACCTTGAGTTCCTACTATAAGGTAGAAAGGTGGCTAATAAATGTTTTAAATGTAATTAAAATGGGATCCTTGCTCGTTTTCTCTAAAGTTTAGCTGGCAGAGGATTCAAACCTCCTAGCCAAGAGTGTCCTTCTGGGATACTAGAGGAGACTAACTAGATTGTTCCACTAGTTTCCTCAATGGTGGTACCCACCAAGGAGTCCGTGTGCTTTCCAAACTGGCAGGAACCCAAATTTACAAACACAACCTACAGTAAACCCTTTTCTATCTAGCATTTGATTATCTAGAATATTCAGTTAATCGGCACTCCCTGGAGGGCAAGCTCTTCCCCTTGGCCACCATACGCCTGTGTATGCTCCAGCTGGCCAGCTTGATGTCCTAGCCATTGCTGGATTTCTGCCAGCTGGTGCTGCCAGTATATGTCATCTTTGGGTGCAGTGTTTCCTCTAAGCTGAGTTATTTTGACCTAGCTCACAGTTTTTAGTTTCTGGCTCACACAGTTTTGTCTTAGGTAAGGAAAGATGGCTCCAATCAAATATAATACCCTCTATAAAGGAAATTAAAATTAAAGTTCTGGAAATAGCTGAAATGGACAGAATAAATATGGAACTTAAGCAGAAATCGGAAGATGAGTATTGGGTAAAATGGGGAGAAGTATATAAATGGCTAAACTTAAGGAAAATAGATCTGGATGAGAGTTAGGTTAGCTAGCATGAGGGACAAGTAAAAAAATACATGTGTAAATGCATTGTGTATGTAAAAGAATATTGGATACTAAGAGTTATTTCTTTTTTTTAAATTTCTGTTATTCTAATATGATAACTGTTAGAAAATGTAAAGATATATCTTCTTGTAGGGAGGTATATAAATAAGTGTTAAACGATGTAATGATACTGTAAAATAACAAAATAAAAAGATTTACCAAAAAAAAAAGGAAAGATGGCTCCAGAGCAAACTAATTTATGCAGTAGCCAAATTGCTCGCTCACAACTTTAATGCCAGTAGCTCATAAAGTAGAATTTTTGCTTAGAGGGAGCATTGCTTCCTTTCTCCTGCTGGGAGGCAAGGTCTGCTGGAGGACTGTTGGACAGTTTGCCTGCTTGGCTGCCTGTGGTGTACGATGGCTCTGTAAACTGACACAAAAGGTGCTGTCCGGTGTGGGAGATGGTCCCTGTAAATGACTCTGGAAAGGGGTGGGGCACAGCAATACTTCTGAGTATCTGGAACATTTGCTTATCCAGCAACAGCCATTCCCAGTGAGTGCCAGATCAGAGCTTTTTCTGTACTATGTACAACCGTAATATGTCAGCAAAGGTTTTCAGTAAGTATTACTTTATTTGACGATCTGTGTTCTCAACACACACATGCTGGGGAGGAACAGTTGTCCATTTTTCTGCTTCCTTCACCATCGCTTCAGCATCCATTAATCCAAATCCATATAGGTGGCTAACTGAAATAAAAGAAAAATTGTTACAATCACAAAATAATTCTTTGACCTTTAGATAATACAATAGCCATTACAGTCACTGCCTATATTCCTAATTCCTGTGACCCAAACTTGCCTTGGTTCCATACCAGAGATGCAAAGGTGTGTGTGTGGGGGGAAATCCTAGAAAAAGTCGGGGCGGGGACAAGAACTCTTTTTCCAGTTAATTTTGGGGAACACTGAAAAAGAACCTCCTATGAAATTTTGTCTTTTGGAATGAGTGACATGCTTTTAAAGGTAAGGTTTACCCACTCAAAATGTGTAGTATGAATATTTTAATGTCAGATATTCTACAGCAATAGAGATGTACAACCAGAGACTTGCTAAGGTCTTGCAGGGGGGCATCTCATATTCCCCTCCCCCAGTATTTCCTTTTTCATCTGCATGAAAACCCCCATAGCTTCTCCTCTTCTCCTGATTTCTTTTCTCTTTTCCATGTATCCACCATCCTATTTTATCTGCCTCCATCTTTAGTTTTCCTTCCTTCATTCCCCTGGGCACCCTCTACCCAGGGAAACTATGGTCTAGTTGCATGGAACTCACAGCTGGGCCAGGCCCAGCATCACAGCAGGGAACCTGCAAGGACTTGGAGGGGGCACCTTATTTTCAATGGTATCTCCTTCCCCACGCCCCCCCACTTTCCCTCCTCCCAGCAACTCCTGTACCCTCACCTTTCCCTGCTTCCTTCTGTCTTTCCCACCTACCAACCAACCTTCCTTTTATCTGCCTCCCATCTCCAGCTATATTTATTGTTTAATTATTCTATTTATACCCTGCCTTTCTGTGACAGTTAGGACATCTTAGCCTTTCTAAGCCTTAGCTGATTTCCAAATTGACCTCTGACGGACTCACGTTAGCCCTCAGTGTACTTTAGCCTTGTGAAATATATCTGCATTTCTAAAGAACAGCTATCTGTGTACTGCTGAGGTCCACATGTCTGCTGGTGGGAAACAGCCTTGTTTCCTGTTACTTTGCAAATATAAACATGATAAGATGTTTTGAGAACATTTACTAATTTTTACTGGCTTTTGTCTACAACAATGATGGAATAGTTTTGAGGGGAAGAAAAAAATGATGCCAACGAGAGTGTTCTGACTTAACCATACTTGTTCATACTTGTTCCTCGTCCTTCAATTTTTTAAAACAATTTTTAAAAGGACACATTTCAAGCCCTCTTTGTTTTTATTGTAGGAGAGTTAATTCTCTATTGAATTCTAATCAACACACCACACTGGCTTTTGTTATGTGGTTGCTGTTGAACAGTAGCAAGTAGCACTCCTGGGTAAATCATGCAAGTCACATGGTATTAAGTTGGTCAGTGGTTGCTGCCAGGCCTGGCCCAGATGGCCAAACAGCCCTGGAAAGTGCCCTGCCTCCCCCCATGCCTTTCACTGACAAAAACCAGACTGGCAACACTGTTGTGATTGACTAGCAATAGTAGAGAGAGCACTAGTTCCTTAAAGCTATAGGCATTGCTTCTATTATTGGGGGGGGGGGTTTACTCCCCGCTGTGTTTCTTTTATTTTTAATTTTTCTGCAAACCTGCAACTTTTTTTCCTGGAATTTGCCTGTGTGTGGCTCCAATCACTGGATTTCAGTATCCACAGATTTGGTCACGTTGAAATTTAGATATACTTATATTCTGTAGCCATGTACAATATTTGTGATGACACTTTTTATTTTAAAAAGTTATATGTTAACTTTCCAGATACCTGCTTGAGGTGGCACGTGAAGTAAAATAATACAATACAATAATAGCATAACATTATTAATAAACAAGGCATACAATAAGTGAGGTTATTTAAATTTCTCAAATAAATGTGACAATTTCCATCATATTTAGTATACTATGTGTGCATGAAGACATTGTTTTCACTGCTAAAATGTTTAACTTTAATATATTGTTAGTATAGGAGACTATTTCTATCCAAATAATACATTTCCTTTTGCTTACTACAAAATTTGGTTTCTATTTTTAACTTCTCAGATGGCAAAAACAAAGATATTTGGATGCACTAAGGTAGCATGGGGTGCAGCTTGGGTTTATTTGTAATGTGCTAAGACACTGGAAACACAATCCTAAAACCAATCTCTAACAGTGCAATCCTGGGGGGGGGGCAGGACCCTACCTCTGGGCCACTGACCTGGGTGCTGAGCAATGACACATGGTAGCTGAACCTTTTCCCTGCAGGAGCAGATCGCCTTGACACAGCTGAAGAAGTCCCCTCCCCAATGGCTGCCAGAGTGTACGTGAGGGAGAAAGAGGAGAGGAAGGACAGGATACAGGGGCCCATGCTGCATTGAAGCACTTGAGGAGGTGCTCACTGTGCTGCATGGCAGCCCTTTTTGTGAGTCAGCTGGCCTGAGGCAAGGAGTGGAGAGTACATGGTGAGGTGCTGCTAGAAGGTAAGGGGTTTTTTTTTTTTGGTCTTTCTGCCTTTTGCCTTTCCTAGATGCTGTGTGAGAAGCTGAGGGTGAGTGGGTTCTCTGGAGCTTACCAGAGAGTGGTTCTGTTCTGTTGGGGGCTAATTGTGTGTTGGGGGCTGCTGGGGGCTGAGTTAGTTGCTGTTGATTGCTGTTGATTACAAGCCACACCCCCTACTGTGCTGAGCTCTGCTGTGCTTGGCAGGAAGTGACCTTTTGAAATAAAAGGCCAGAGGGAGAGGTGACTCAGCTGGCCTGAGGCAAGGAGTGGAAAGCACATGGTGAGGTACTACTAGAAGGTAAGGGTTTTTTGTCATTCTGCCTCTTGCTTTTCCTAGCTGCAGCATGAGAAGCTGAGGGTCAGTTGGTTCACTGGAGCTTGCTAGAGTGTTGTTCTGTTTAAATTCTGTTTGGGGCTAATTGTGTGTTGGAGGCTGCTGGGGGCTGAGTGAGCTGCTGTTGATTGCTGTTGATTACAAGCCACACCCCCTACTGTGCTGAGCTCTGCTGTGCTTGGCAGGGAGTGACCTTTTGAAACAAAGGGCTCCTTCTTGCCAAAGGTGTGAGCCTTGGTGCGAGGGGTAAAGGGCTCTTGGCCTGAGGATTTGCCTGAGGGCCCTGAAACTCTGCTAAGAGTACTCTTGGAATATACTTGGATGGCAATGATGTTGACTGAAGGCCCCTTTCCAGTCACCTGCATGGAGTGTGCCATGTTTGTTTTCCTCCCGGAAGAGAAGACGGACTTCACTTGCCAGAAGTGTAAGCTGGTCAGGCTTTTGGAGGAGAACATTCAGACCCTGCAGGAGAGGATCACCACCCTTCAGGAAATCAAGGAAGGGGAGGATTTTATTGACAAGAGCCTGGGAACTCTGCAAACACATGAAGAAGAAAGTCAAGGAGAAGAAGGAAGTGTCGATCTCCCTTCTGAGCCTCCTCTCAGTTCTACAGTACAAACCCGAAGACGCCGACTAAGACGACACTCTGGTCCACTGGAGCTCAAGAATCGTTTTGAGGTGCTTGAGAGGGTGACAGAGATGAGAGTGGAAGGAGAGCCACAAAGACCTGGAAAAGGGAGTGAAGAGGACATGGTGCTGCACAGAAGTGGAAGGAAACAGAAAGTGGTGGTCGTCAGTGACTCTCTGCTCAAGGGTATGGAACATAATGTGTCCAGGCCAGATCCCCTACTCTGAGAGATGTGTTGCTTACCTGGGGCCAGAATTCAGGATATTACAGACCGACTACCAAAACTGATAAGACCTACTGATCAGTACCCGTTTGTACTGGTTCATGTGGGGACGAATGACATGGCTGCAAATACCATCACAAAATTTAAAGAGGACTATGAAGCTCTTGGAAGGCAGGTGAAGGCATTAGGAGCACAGGTGGTGTACAAAGAGAACAGACTATACTCGAGGTGAATCTTTGGCTGAGATGGTGGTGCCAGCAGGAGCACTTTGGGTTGTGGGACCATGGGATAAATTTTCTTAGAGAAGGCCTTCTAGCACATGAGGGGCTTCACCTCTCAAGGTCAGGGAAGAAAACGTTGGGAAAGAACCTGGAGAGCTTACTCAGGAGAGCTTTAAACTGAAGCCGCAAGGGGAAGGGGATGATCAACATGGGAACTTCAATGAAAAAGTGAAAACAGTGGGGGCCCACCTGGGTAGGACAGGTCAAACAAAGGTACAAGGCTACAAGTGCCTATATACCAATGCCTGTAGAATGGGTAATAAGAAGGAAGAGCTTGAGATTCTCTTGCAAACAGAGGGCTATGATATAATAGGAATCACTGAGACTTGGTGGGATGATTCTCATGACTGGGATGTGGTAGTGGATGGGTATGAGTTATTCAAGAAAAACTGGAAGGGTAGAAGAAGAAGGAGAGTGGCGCTGTATGTGAAGAGTGGGCTAGAATGTTAGGAAGTTCTGGAGAATGTGGTTGACAAACTTGTGGAAAGTATATGGGTAGAGATAAGGGGAGGTAGGACAAAGTGTATTGTTGCTGGAGTCTGCTACAGACCGCCAGACACAGGGACAGGAAATGGATGCTGCCCTCCTTGAACAGATTGGTAGAGTATCCAGACATCAGAACCTTATAATTATGGGAGACTTCAACTTCCACGATGTGTGCTGGGAGACAGGAACAAGAATCACGCAACTTCCTGACCTGTCTGGCTGACAACTTCCTTTTTCAAATGGTGAAGGAAGCTACAAGGGGCTCAGCCATACTGGACGTAATATTAACCAAAAGGGAAGAATTGATAGACAGGGTGAAGGTGGTGGGGACCTTAGGGGGAAGTGACCATGTCTTCCTTGAATTCCAGTTGCTAAATAAATAATTGCATACATAGACAAATATGAAAATGTGCCAGCATATACAGTAATGCACCTGCATATATAATAATGTGTTTACATATACAACAGTTTGGCTTGTATGACAGTGGTTACAAGTCTAGAATGTTACCATTCTACATCTGACATTTTACAATATACGTCAACAATAGAACAATACTTATGAGTGGATACTGGCAGAATGCCTGGGT